TGAAATTAGACTGCGAGCCAGAATCCAGTAAGACTCTGCATGATACAACTTTCCGATTATTATCAAAAACGTTTACGATTGCGGTCGATAACAAATTGAAAGAGTCTTTTACATCTTGACACGAATTAGCTAAAGTAGTTTCCGAATTTTCGATATTTTCGTAAGATTTGTGGCTATCATCCGAGTTTTCAATACGGTTATCGCGAGGGTATTCGTTTTCAGTCACCATATGTGACGTAGTATTCCCATCCGATTTTCGCGAATTGACATGAGATTTATGAAGATTATTCTGCGCACGATTGTCCTTGTGTAATAATGTGGCATGTCTCATTCCGCAGATTTTACAGCCTGCAGACTTACACTCTATAATTTTATGGCCAAAACGCAGACAATTAGTGCATAACGATAGTTTTTTAACTTGTTCGATACGATCCGGTATTGAGAGTTGCTTAAATTTGTCGCAGAAATAAATAAAGTGTTGCTCTTTACAATATGGGCATTTTGGCTTGAATGTATTTTCTGTGTTAGTATAAAAAGATTTAGATTCGTATTTTTTATTCACGTTCGTGTTTGAGTTATAAGATTTGCTGTCTAAAGTTTCTAAAATTTGACAACGCTGCGATACAAATTTATTGAACTCTTCGGTGGTGGGGTTTTGAAAATGTTTACAATATATCTCCCACTCCTTTTTGCTATTAAAATCCAGCTTCGAGACTAAAATGTAAATTAATATCCTATCCCAATCTTTTACGTTTTCACCCATTGCTTCGAGTGACCTATAAGCTTTAAAGAAAGTATTTGATAAGCTTCTTAACTGAATGTGAGAATCCCGATTCACTGATGGAATTTCCATGATTTCTTTTAAGTGCGAATTGATTATTATTTTTTTATTATCGTAACGATTTTTTAACAAATCCCAAGCGATTTTATAATTTTCGTCTGTAGCTGTTAATGATGCAATTAATTTTTTCGGCTCTCCAACTAACGCTTCTTCTAAATAACAAAACTTTGCTACATCCGGTATGTTTGCACTATGCACGATAGCTGTAAAAATGTCGCTAAACCGTCGCCACTCGGCATAATCGCCCGTGAATTTAGGAACCTTCAAAAATCCCAGCTGAGATGCAACATTTGGCAATGCCGGCGGCTGTCCGATCGCCGAAACGTTAAATGGTGAAAAAGATGGAAGAAATTGCGCACCGCTACCTCCTGGGGCCCCAGGAGCGGCTCCAGCCACAAACAAGCCGGAGGAAGAACTGATGCCTGAGCCAGGAGCTACCGGCGCCGGCGCCGCTGTCTTCAAATGAAAACTTATTATTTTTTCTGCCTCACCGATTACGTCAAAATATTTGTTTTCGAATGTTTCGCGTTCGTCTTCGAATTGCTGTTCATCGTAATTCTCCGGAATTTTACTCAAGATTAGTTCTTCGATCTCAGTTTGAACTTCTCGAAATCGATTTAATATTGTTTTCGCGTCTTTTAAACGAATTTGGAGTTGTTCGAATTTTGAACTTTCATATTTATAGAGAAATGTTTGAAATCGAGTCATTTCTCGTTTTATGTTGGTTCGATTATTTTTAAAACCTTCCAGTTCGATTTTTGGGTCAAGCCAAATATCGTTCGCGTCACCGTTTTCAGACATTTCGTTTTTGTTTTAAGTAAATAAAATAGTTAAAAATTTAGTTAATTTTGATTAAATTTTGAATAATTAATTATTCACAAAAAATATTATTTCAGACGACGGCACTGGAATAAGCTTATCGCCTTGTTAGTTGCTTGGCGTGAAAATTAAAAAAATAATAGGGCAAATCGAGGAGCAAATAGGGTAATCAACAGTGAAATTAATTAAGCTACAACTATTTATACAAATACGTTCTCAGGGTGGATATCCTTTCGTTTAAAAACTAATAATGTCGTGCAGAACAAAATGCATGCAAAATACGTGATACTGTGATACATTTAACCTTGTTAATCGTGCAAACACCGCGTTTTCGTGTTAATAACGTTTTTAATATTTGATTTTTCGTGATTTTGTGAACTAAGTTTCTAATTGAAACGAGAATCGAGATTATTTTTGTTGTTTATTTCGTGATATTTAAGTTAAACAATTTTTAACTCCACGCGGTGCATAAGGTTATTTGTTTCACGGTTGAAATAGTAATAAAAATTAAAAGGAACGACCTAACCTGTTGTGTTTCGTGATGGCGAGCATATGACGAGCGGTTCGGAGGCAACCGTATTTGTTTCCTTCGATTTTTTCTTCGATTTTCTACAAGCACTTGCACTAATTCTATCCGGTTCGAAGGACCATGTTGCTGGGTTCCTTCGACAGGTAATATTTTGCAGAAATAAGAACCCACTTGTTCAACTTTACGTTTTTTAATTACGAGAAAATAAATGCTTGCAGAACAGTACAACTTTACGAGGCAGAATGGCTGACTATTTACTAGTAACGGCCCTCGGCAACCGCTCCAAGCTCCGCCCGTCAGCTCCAATATTCCTACGCCGAGTGACATATGACAAGCGCGGTCGCGCCAAGTTTTCAGGGCTTTAGCCGTGTTGCCATATCTAATAATATGATACTAATACATAATAAATGAAATAAATCCTTAACTCTAACACAATGTCTACATAATAGACGGCCACAACAGGCTTCACATTATGAGGCTTATTAAAATAGTAACACCAAGCAGCGCCGTTGCTTCTTAAGAATCCATGAAGAAATATACCACGATGTAACGGTCAACCCATCGGCCGGTACCAAAATAAACGGCCTCTCGGTGAAACGGGGGACGGATAATGACGTAATCTTTACGGTCAGTTGCTGATGCGCAAAACGGTCCCTGCTCGGGCACCAAATTTGTTACGGGTTTTCCCAGGAGTTGTGGCAGCTTAGGTTAACAGTCGGTATTTATCTTTTGGTTAATCCAGCAGTAATCTTGGGCGCCACCCTCAAGATTATAGTGGTTGAGGGGCCACTAGCACCAGATAGCTTGTTACAGTGGATAAAGAAAAACCAGGAGTCAATGCGCAGATAAAGGAATGAAACAACTATCGAAGAATAATTTATCTATTACTCATTATGTAATAACAGAGGAAAAGAAAATGAAAACTCAGATAATATGTTTGATAAAACCTCAAAGAAATTGTCCTTAATTTATAACAGCTCCTCATAGAGTGTACGGGTGAAGAGAGCGAGAGTGAGAGGTTTGTGTTTACGGCCAGTTTATTCTGTAACTTGCGAACGCGGAGAATTGCGCAATTGTCGCTGTCAACGCATTTTTTCTATTCTAAAAAAGCAACTGCGACTCGGTTGCTAGTTGCTATGTAATTGCTGTTCGTTGAGAATAGGTCTGCGGATATTGGCGTAAAAGCGGCAAGCGGTAAATATATGGCCACGGGTAAAGCCGGCGGTTTTACGTTCACGGTAAAAAGCTACTAAGCGGAAATAAGCCGTAGGTTCAGCACCAGTCCCCGAAAACTTCTAGCGACAAATTCGAAATCGCGTATCTCAGCGGGGTAGAAAGTATAACTGATCTATGTCCGTACGTTCAACTAGAAAATAGGGATTGCGGTTATCCTGCTGGACTTGCCTGTACAGCCGAAACTTGTCCTGATCAGTCTACCCACTATCCAACTCTTTTCGGTACAGGGCGCGGTGTTTCGGAGCCAGAACTGAACGGTTCAAATGTTAACACTAAATACATTATGGGCTGATGGTGTGTTTAATGTTAACATTTGTAGGTCGTGGAAGAGGGGACAGATTACGAGAATGAAGATCGCACTTCCTACATCTAAAAGTCACAACAAGAAAGATCATGGATTAGGCCTACAGTAAAAATACAATGTAGAAAAAACGCGCCTTGCATCTTACCTCTGGGGTGGTGTGGAAACGGGTGCTACCCTCTGTTTTCCTGGCGTATCAGGTGGAATCCGGTTGGTATGACGTAAAATATGTGAATAACATTTTTTGACGAGAATTTTCAAATATTTTTAGCCAAAATAGTCGTAAGACATACCGAAAGCAAAATATTTGAGAAAAATTCATTGCTGTGATATTTGATATTTGAACTTTGAAATGCAAACAAGATATCGGTGGGGACTTTACTAAAACCTAATAAGCCATCGATGACCCAGTGAATGAGTTTCGTGAAAAAATATGAGATTTTTTTCAGACGGACAAAACATTTCAAGAAATTTCTTTTTTGAAACATTTTAGATTTTTAGATGGTCATTTTGCACATGCAGCAGAACACCTTCCTAAAGTTGTTAGATGCTGATACTCATTTCTCTTCAGAAAGAACATCTGCAATGTCAATCAGCATTGATTGTAAATGATTTCTGACTGCAATAAAGACCCTAACTTTTCTGTAGGTATCTGCCAGTTTGTGCACCATACCTACCCCTTCCATAAACAACCAATTCATTGTGACTCAGCTCTTCATTCAAGAGCTCATTCATCGAAATTTCACTAATCATATAATAAGATATCATACTCAAGTGTGCCACATTATTACACAATTCAATCAATTTGGTTAGGACATTAATATTCTTGTAATAGACATTAAGAAGCTCTGACCTTGAACTTTTGTGGTGCCTTCATTCTTTCTTCATTTTAGAAAAGCTTCAAACGCTACAAACACGCATCAACTGGATTAAGATATTTGGGTTATTTAGAACAATGTGTGATGTGTTCATGAATGGTCTACATTGTAAATATTTACTACTGAACATATATTATCACCCGGGCGATACATGTATAGCCGCATACAGAGACCGAATTTCCAACGCTAGCCAACAGCACATGTGAACTATGTTGGAACGCGTTGGCTTTGGTGTGTACGGTGATGTGGACGATGTTCTCAAATCTTTTCCACTGCTTACCAATTCCAACGCCAACGACAGCACATGTGCCATTGGCGTTGGTCTACGTTGAAAATTCGATCTATACGCGTCTTAAAGCAAAAGGTATCCAGAGTCAATAAATTAATAATACATACACATAGAAATATCTGTGGACAATTCTCTGGCCGCACAATGGTAACCTTTAGCTTCTAGATTAGGAACCATTACACCAATCGCTAATTCTGAGTCTTTGGGTGCGTAAGCAACCATTACATCACTGGACTTTCCGTCATTTTCTTCCAGAGAGCCATAGCTGTCCTTGAGGATAACTTGAACTTTGAGACCATATTGTTTAACAAGGAATAGCAAGGTGGTGAGTAATAGGACTATTACTGCCGACAATATCAGGACTTCTCTGAGTGGAAATGGATTCGGATTGATGTATTCGATGACTTTTACTGGAAAAAATATTTTTTTGTTAATAAATAATGATACATTTAGTTAATATTGATACCTTACCTTTTTCTCTAATAGTCACTCTTTTGCTAAGAGTATTGCCAGGCTTGCGAATAACACAAATATAAGTTCCATAGTCGTCAGTTCTGATTGCGGAAAACGTTAAATAGGTTCCAAAAGTTTGATTTTCCTCTCTGAAATAAAAAAATAATAATAATACAATTGAAGGCCAAGGATGCACATAATAACGTAAGTTATATGGTAATAATATCGATGATAATCATAAATAAAATAAAAGAGCTCCAGGCATGTTAGGCCTGTCGAGAAGTAAATAGCCGTTACGTCATATAAACGGACATGATCATCAGTAAATAGTTGGAATCATAATCGATTGGCATTGTGTTTTTGTTTTGATGGACATGAAAACAATTCCGTACTTATATGGCTCAACAAATATGAACATAAGAGCTATCTCTGTTATTTTTGAAAGATAGTATATAATTTGTGAGTCAAATTGGGTTAGTGTTTATTCTACCTAGGTTAAAAAAAGGAAAAGCTTTGGTAGGTTGCCAAGAGAAAATATTATTGGAAAAAAAAATAGTCACAAAATAAAAAATAAAATAGAAAAACAAAAACAATAATATAGGTTAGGTAATAGCAGAAAATTGGAAAGTTTCCAGTACAAAAGAAGAATCGAGTCAACAAGGGGGTCTGCCAGGGCCTTTCAATAATGTGTTGTTAATTCATTTAAATAACTAAAACTTTAAAACCTGTTAAATTTTTTAAATTTTAACTCCTGAGATAGACCATTGGTTTGGTGTGATAATCAACGGTGTGATGCTGGCCAGAACTTAACATTATGATTGTATTTTCAATTAAGTACTTTATTATTGTTTATTTGCCTATAAGTGTCTTGTTTCAATTTATCATTCCTAATAATTTTTATATGTTAATTTCTGGTAAGTAGAATCTATATGATCCACCTTTGTAGTATATATCATCATTGATATTTGACGTCTGAACTTTTAATGAATTTTTTTGTGCGTAACAGGACATTTTCACATTTGGAGTGTATTTTTCTAAAATAACTAACAAGATAAATGATGATCATTTTCCTGTGTATCACATGTGAAACTTGATCGTTAACAAAGGAATCAGTAGAAATAAACGATCTGAGGAAATTTCAAGGAAGTGACAAAAGGAGCAAAAAACTTTTAAAATGAAATCTCCTAAATTGCGACCTGCGACACGATGAAATAAAACTTATGAAATCTCGCCCTATTTTTATTCTCAAAGAACCCCACTGATGCACAAAAGCTTATTGAGAAGAAGAGTCAGTTAAAAAAAAGGTGATTCCAAATTTAAATAGACAGTAGTTGTTAGTAAGTCTTCACCATGATTCTAGTTCAAGAAAACAGCAAATATTATCGAGTAAAATAATGGCCATGTTAGAATCGAGTACAGTCTGATATAGAGGTGAACTCGTTCTTCGATAATTGCTGTCATCATCGGCGACATTAAGACAACGGGAAAAAGACAATGAGGACGAGTTTACTACCAACAAGCTACACTACTGCAGACTCGCGGGTTCTCACGATCCATAACGTCAGTGGCGTAAAAAAAATTAAATTATAAGAAGTGTAGGCAGGTACTTAACAATATATAGGCAGAGCTTGGAAGGATTAAAAATTTAATTGACTGTTTGTCTAATATTCAATACCTACCAGAGATGTTTTTCCAAAATCGACGCTGGGAATAAATAAAAATCACCACAATGATGGCATAAAAATGTATAAAATTGTATCATGAAAACATGAAAACTCTGTAAAAATTGTCAGTTAACTTGCTCCTTCATCTCTGATTAACTGTCAAAGTATTTAAAAAAAAACAACATATCGATATCAAATAAAACTTTTGTATTTTATTCCAGTTTTGTCCCTTTTTAACATATTCATAAGATTGTCTATGGTTGATTTAATTTGTTATTTCTACACTTTATGAATTTCTATTCAAATATTGTTATCCTCATCACCTCTACCCGGAGATTTATAAGTCCATGACTCCTTCCATTCTCTCCTTTAATAGCATGTTTATCTACACTGCACCACACAGTTAAATGTGAAGGTTTCGTGAGTTGAGAACAACAGTCTCTTTTAAGCCTTCTGCCATTTTACATCCTACCAATGTTGTATAAATTTTTTGTCATAACTTCTTCAGCATCTGTGAATTACAACAACGCTGGTACTACTTGCTGATGGTTAATTGATTGATGGTTGCTGAAACCTTGCATTTACCTTTGTCTCTTAATGTTTGGTCCCTTATTTGACGAAATTACATGTTAAAGAACTCGTCAACACTTTGGTTATGGAGCAACACTTGGCGATACAACAAGGAAGATCTCCTCCCTCTCTGAAGTTAAGTTGTATTTTTTTTTACCAGAGGCAATAGTTGGTTAGTTTTATTAAGGTCGATCGACATTCGAATGTTGGAAGAATAGGTTTGGAGTATGGGCATAAATGAACTCACAAAGACGAACACAGCAACTAAACAAAGATCTAAGGCAAGTTGGAAAACAGTAACGTTGCCGTTTACTTGCACATGAAAGGACGCCCAGACAAGATACGAAGATTCTCCAGCTCTAGATCAACACAAAATCGATCAAATATAAATTATGAAGTGATGAAAAGGCATGAAGGAGTATTGAATGACATTGACCAAAGACTCATCCGAATATGAGTTTTATTCAGCAAAGACATCCACAAATACAGTCGGCATCAGGTAGTAAGTAGATTCAAATCTAGAATCGCCTACATTGGTATAAAACAACAGCCTAAATTGAGAGTCCAAAATACAAAAGCCTATTGCCAAATGCGCCTCAGAACACTATAACGATCGAAAGCTTGTGACTATTCAATCAAATCCTGTGAAGATCAAGCTGATTACCTATTTTCTGAAGAATTCAACATACTATGTTCAGCGTGAACAGCCTATAGTATACAATAACATAGTATAAAGTACTCAACCAAAATGGATTTCATCAATGAGGACTACTACCTATATTTCGAAACACCAAGACAGTGGAATAGTTCATGTAGGTAATCAATAACGTCAGAAAATACATATAAAATAAATGAATCCAAAAAAATTGGAGACAGTCCTGTTTTTCTCTGAAAATAGAAATCAGTATATGACTCAAACCCCTATTAACTATAAAATTAATGGCCAATAAATGGAACTGATCAGAGATCGTTGGAAGGTATATTAAATCAATGATCATGTCTGGATAATGGTCTGGATATTATTCAATTAAATAAAAACAAAACAGCCTGCTGCTGCATTGTTGTGGATACTTGATGTACTATAAAATGTTGACGTTCAGCAGGGCACTATCCAATATTTGAAGAAAAGTTGCAATTACCATCCTGTGTGTGGTATCTGAAGAATCTTTTATATGATATGTGGATTCACACTTGTTTCTGGAGAGTAGGTAGTTCAGTTTCCTGGGTAGGGGATACGAAAGTTCAATTCATCGATATCACGACTGCCTTAAGCTCTTCGAGCCTGATGTTCTCAAAGTCTATCAAAACGTTTTTCCGTAATTTCCTTTCAACATATCTACGTGACAAGTAAACAAAGTGCATCCATCCATCTAAAATCAAGAGTTAGCTGACCCATGTTTATCATGCACTTCATCAACATTCCATTAAAATAATTCAATAATTGATTTTGTCATTAAAACCCATAATCTCCATCACTGTATATAATTTTCTGCGACATCAAAACCCATAAGCCTTAAGCCTATAACCAGTAGGTATCTCTTGACTGTTTTTGTCGGCTCGCCGCGAACCCGGTTGGTTCCAATTACGGGTAATTATCAGAGTTTTTTGTTTGGTACCCGATCGGAACCCCAGTAGTGAGCTCTTGCAAACGATAATAAAAAATTAAGCTAAATGCCGCCCGGATGCCGATGTAAACGTAAAATGAATTTGCTTGGGTTCTCGATGGCTAATTGTCCGTCGGATTCCGTGAAGTTTGTCATGCAGGGGGCGCTTCTTTTGTAGGCACATTTTGTGAAAAGTTAACAACCCGCTGGGATACTCATATATCATGTTCGCTGGCTTAAAATTAACTTTCGCAGAGTCGAAACAATAAAGTACGACAATAGAACACGCACACAAGCAGTAATAAAAGCCGAAATTGCGTGGAATAGGTTTCGAGTGCACACGACCAATAGTGTTGTTCGACTCAAATCGACTTTATGTACCGGAAAGTTAGCGGAACTAATTTCAGACGCCCTAAGAAATCACGAACGACATTTTGTTTCGATGGTAATGGTTCTTGACCCCAGTTTTGAAACTTTGTATATCAAATATGGCATCAAGCATATTTTCTTCCAAAAAAATCAACTATTTTTAATACACTTTTGCCAGTAAAGTATCATGCCGTTAAATAAGGAAAAGACATTTGATAAGGGTAAACATAGTGTTACTGACTCACCTATTAAGCTAAAAATGTAGGTAGGTACTTCCAAAATCACAAATTCAATTAAGGCTGATAGAGCACTGGATGTCGAAATCATGTGCAGTGCAGTTGAACTCAAACTATGAATATTGAATGTGAGTGTCTGCAAAGAGATGTACCTACCTAAACGGTTTTAATTTTAATGTGGAGAAATGACATTAACAATGAAAAAGAACCCTATCGCTTAAATACAGAATAAACGATTTTTCTTATCGTCAGGGATGATGCAGAGAATCACCTTGGTCCCACATAACAGGGAAAGAACCAGGGGCGGGCAAATGGGGCACTGCCCCCCCCCCCCCCCCAGGCCTGGAGATGATTATTATTGTTTCATGATGCTACCATTGCTACCAGAAGAATAAAAAAACAGAATAGCATAAGTGATACTAAAAGTTGCTTACACAGTAAATAATAATTGTCAAATTGACATTTTGTCTGTGCAATGTGTGTTTATTTTTCAAAATGACGTCATTACAAATGAGTACAGTTTAGACTGCTTATGTTCATTCAGTAATATATGTATGGTTACCTATTGGCCGTCGTTTTTTATCTGACACTTTCTGTATGAGGAGCGAGGGGGTGAAGCATATAGCAAAAACCACATAAAAACAGGTGTGACGTCAGGTAACCATTGACGTTTTAACATAGGGAGCAACCACCAGCTCACATTTTT